ACGAAATTGAAATACTAATTAGTATTCAGTGGAGGAAGGTGGATTCCGGTGGCGAGCGCGGGGTTGAGCGGCGTCGAGTTTCCCCGAGTGTCGGTCTTTTAAAACGGGACAAGGGGGCAAGTCTCGTGTCTGACGTGTCTGAGGAAACTCGAGACTCGCGGGAAATTACTCGTAAAATGTGCTGCTGGGAAAGTGGAGAACGTTCGTAGGTTTTATGCTTGGCGAGGATTCGTTCGGCGATGCTCGTAAACACATCGAATCGTCTTTCTATCGGCTTTTAGCCTCGCGTTTAATCTCGAACGCGACTGGATACATACATATGATGTGTATCGAGATCGACGGAAGCCGATGGAGCGAGTACGAGCCGCGCCTATGTACTTAAAAGGAACAAGATGAATAGAAAACCGTGCCTACCAACGAAAAGGAGATGTTACATTGTTGCGGATGAAATGATTTCGTTACAGATCAGAGAAATACGGTCCAAGCATCAGCAACAGCGAAATAATGATACCGTGTCTTTGAAATTCGCAGGGGTTGGATCTACTTTCGAAAACGGCGAAATGCAACGATTCAAAAAGCCAGCACACGAGGGATAGAACGCGTCATTTAACAAGCCACCCTCTGTACCTATAGGTGTATGCGTGGGCAAGCACACAGCCGCGTTTAAGCGTAGCCGCACGTACGAATGCTCGTTGCCGTAGTGGACAGAGTAACACGTGTGGTGGCAAAGATAAGCCGGCGAAAATACGCGGAGTCACGTATTTTATGAAATATACGTAAACGTTTGCCTCCTCTGTACCGTGTATACGTATGCATGGATGCCGGTACAGCCGCGCTCGACAGACTGGTTGCTTCGAGTTTCAACGGCATTAGTGCGTCCCGCGTACGATAAACGAATTTTCCAGAGAAATACACCGAAGAAACGGAGGGACGATCGTTTGGCGAAAGGGAGGCCTGGAAAGGCTCGAGTCACCTGCAATTTACGCGATAACCGCTTGTTCATCTAGGCAAGAGGCAACCAGTCTTGAAAGGGTAATCTCACGTTTCGATTCATTTCAGAGACTTTTTATAAAATATGTATAAAAAGCATAGAGAGGAGTTTCGATTCTTTTTCTTTAGAAAAAAGTGGCCATTGTCTTTTCGACACTAACCGGTCGATGCAGCTCGCGATGCAAACCGACGCGACGCTAGAATCCACGGCGTACAAACGCTTAAACCGTTTTGTTTTCCGCACGCGTTTCTACCGTGTGCCAGTGTGGGAGTTAAATGCCGCAGCGGATTATGACGGGACGCTTTTTGGACGCTAATCGCATTAACCGTTCAACGTTTACACGCTTACGCGGTGACGAATCGAACGCGGCTCTATATTCCCAGCCTCGATACGAAGAACGTTCCGCGCGGAAAACAAAGAGAAAGAGAGAGAAAGAAATAAAAGAAAATCTATATTATTGGACGAAGGTTCTTGGCCAGCAGAGACGGTGAAACGTATCAATGAAGCGGTGCAAAGTTCTCGGATAGCTGGCATAACGTGAAACGATATCTATTACACCACAAACAGTTTCTGCGACTAAGTTTTAACTAGCTCTATACTTTGCAATATATACTATTACTTTACCACTGTTCGAACATTTCTATCGGCCATTATTTCCCAAGTTCTGCCGGTGCGGTGGTGCAGCGGTGCTTCTCCGATATAATTCGAGCTCGGATATAATGCAGCCTTCAATATATTATCGACGATTACGCTATTAAAGCTCGAATCTTTTGGATTCGACCGATTTTCCGAATCATTTGCCCAACGCTGATAACGAGATTAAAAGGAAAGAGTGTCGTACCGAACGGCACAAGTGGGTCATTCTAAAAAGCTACAGCCGGGAATCGATGAATTGTCAAAACTTCTGGTTCCGTGCACGGTTTGTTTATACGGGTAGCCGAAAATATTGCCAACAACGAGCGAAACATAAGGTAATCTTTTCGGAAAAACATAACTCAGGGGACAAATCGTAAACGTGGCTCCCGTTGCCTAAAACGAATGACATCGGGATGTAAATTCTCCCTGATGCATTGCGCCAAGGCATAATTCGATTTAGCCGAAATCCAAAATGGCTGTTGCATTTCTGAAATCCGTGTAGTCGAGCGAATCACCAATGGAACGCGTGTCATTTTGCTAATTGTACATAGTGGCTACGATAAATTATTTAATCGGTTAAATCCTATTTTACACATTCCGTCCCACGGCAGCTCGAATCCCCTTGATTCCTGTCCCATTTTTCTCTCCCCGGATAACAATCGAACACACGAGATACCGTGAACAAGCTATGCATCTAATAACGCATTTTTTTCGCGATGAACAAAAAAGGGAATGCAATATTTAATTTTTTAGCGATATCGCGTGCACCACCCCTGTGTACAAACTTTGCCCGATTTCCATCGCATATCCCTCGTCTCGTTTACTCTCTTCCATCCTATATACAAGTACATAATTTACTAGTTTATAACATCTTTTTTTTTTTTTTCCTTCGTTTCTATAAATTGATTTATTCGCGCGAAGTAGCGTTAATCAAATTTCATAGCCGGTAACTAGTGGCTCAAAACACAATACGTTCTCCCGATAATCGTTGAAACTTTACGTTACTATACGAACATCGGTGTAAAAGTTTATCGTAACTCTTCGTATCGGTTATGCGTGCATTTTTTGTTTACGATGGCAACGTTGGTCGTTACAACGTTACCACTGTACCGGATTGTAAACGTACACAATCGGTGGAAAAAAAGAAAAAAAAAGAGAGACGATTACTATTCTTTGAGCGACCATAGTTGGTAGGATGGTGGTGTGTATCCGCAGGGTGTTTCAGGAGTAACGAACACCCTGTCCTAGCAGTCGGTGATCATTTCTCGGATCATAAAGCGTAAGAGAAGTAGAAGATCGCGCCCCGCTTGGAGTTTTCCAACACAAAACAGAAGAAGCGCGATTGTTCCGTTTATACACGGTTAATTTTGAAATTTCCAGCGACTTGGTTTTCTTGTTCGCGTAAAAGCAAAGAGAAACGAACGCAGCCTTGACACGGCGAGGAATTTTTCACGGATATGCCAGCGTCGAGGCGGCGATTTTTTTCGTTCTCGCCACGGCTTCTAAACCTTTTTCATTTATCTTCGCCTACTGCAGCTTAAGCAGCAATTTTACAGCGCGTTCTGCATCCGCTTGTTCCAGCAGCTCCGAGCAATCCCCTTAATGTATACTTTTTCTCACTGTCATAATTGAAGAGACGCCCGAAGGTGCAGCAGCATAGCACTCTTCACGACTGTTCTTTTCCCTTGGAAATTTTCGACTTATTTTTCGTTTGAAAAGTGGCGAAACAGGAGCACCGACGAACGATAGTTTCCGACACGATTACTACTCGATCAAAGAGTCGTTTTAACGCAACAGCTCCAACAGCGCTTCGAGTTCCTGTCAAAGTTGCGAACCGCTCTAGAATAGTGCAGAATGCAGAGTGCAGAGTGCACGGCCGTCTGGTTGTTTAGTCTTCGAAAGGGAAAATTTGCGCCCGATTCAAGTGAAACGCTCTCGAGTGTTTACCTTCGTGTAAAACATTCGATGATTGGTAAATACGACGTTAACGCTTTTCCGTGCCATGCGCCGAAAATGTTGGAGCGTGCAAGGTGAACGCGCGTTGCAAACGAAACGATCAGACCGGCCGAAAACGGTTATCCTTTCCGTCAATGTTTGCTCGCCATTAGTTCCATATATAGAAAACAAACATTCTCCTCTGACATCTCGACCACGAAAAATCAACTGTATAGTAGTTTTCCATTGGTGAAATTCTTCTTGAAAAATACCATCTCTGCTTTCCTGTTGTGGCCACATAACCGAAGTAGCGATCATTTCTTTCGGCTAAATGGGCAACAGCTGATCCGTTCACTGCTCAGTTTTATTCACGAACACAAAGGTACTTGCGCCGCCGTTGCCTCGCAAGTATATGCACGTTTGGACGTCTATTCTTTCTATTGGTCATTGTGCTGCATGAAAGCACGAGCGAAAAGAACAGGCAGAAGGATGAAGCGCATGTTTTGTCCGGAATCTTCCCTAGTGGACTGCATCGGTAAACTGGCAATATGTAGTAGTAGGCCATCCCTTAAACGCGAGCAGACTAATTTTATCATATTATCGAGTTCGTCCTTGACAATTATCAAGAGGAAATTCAATTTTCCTCTTGTGTAATCAATATTCACTGCCTAAAGGGCTTTACGACACACCGTCCTCGTAACAATACCAATACGTATATCTCGATAGATCTGAACCCACTCGTAAATTGATAGAAGAGGAGAATGGATGGAGCGCACATTTCGTCCAGGGTCCGCTAATAGGCTCATCAGTAAAGGTAGCTAGTAGATCCGTGCCTCAGACGCGGAGATAGTTAAACTCTCTTCTCTTCACGGCGCGGCGTCTATGTGTTTGGACGGATAGCTGGACGAGTACTAGCGAGAAGGTAAATATCGCGGATGATCCCTCTGGTGGCGATCGTGGAGACTATCTTAGAAACTTATCTGAGATCTGAACCAACTTTTAGGCCGATCGGTTGCAGTCAAACCATGTCCGATAGGAACATCTTTCTCTCGCTTCTCCATGTTTTCAGCTTTCAAGCTGTCGCTCACTGAAAAACTGGAGCATTTCGATGGAAACGCTTTTCATCGAACGGTCAAACGTGGCCTCGATCAACGGTATCGTTTCAGATGAAACGATTTTTCCAAGAAAAATTCGCCGCGTCGCGTCGCGTCGCTTTTCCTTCCCAGCATTTTCCCACGAACCGAGCTTCTCATACATTCGCGCTTCGTCTTCTACTTTTTTCGTGTCGACGACGATCCGCGTGCATCAAAGCTACATAATAAATTGAATATTATATCCGCGAACAGGAGGAAGGGAGTGGCGGGAGAAGGAGCCAGGGAAAAGGATAAAAGAAGGAACAAGAGAAGAAGAAGAGAAGGTGGAAAGAGGAAAGAAGAAGGGACAGGAGGTCCTGGACCTGCGCCATGCGAAGCGAGCGTCCCGTCACGAAGCGTCCAACGCTCGACGTTTAGCTCGACGCCGTCAGTACACGCGTCTCGACGCCCGGGGATGCGTCCGTTACCGGAAGTATAACGCGACGCTCGTTTCAGTCATTGGACCCGATCGTAACGGGATCCATTTTCACTTGGTTCTTTTTTTTCTCGACGAAGAGTGCCGTTTTGAAAGCAACAGAAAACAGACAGTATACACGTATGACGCGGCGTGCTCGTTCGCGAATATAATGCTACACCTTTTCCACGAGGTAATGTCCCACCACGAGAACTTTGGAGAAAGTTTCGTTTGAACAGAACCGTGAGATAAACGATCTCTCTATTTCAGTGATCGATATGAAATACGAACAAGGACGTATCGCGAGTGTGGATTGATCGATTTAGATAGAGTTCTTTTTTAAAACTAATTTTTATCGCTTCGATATACTTACTAGTTTCATATATAAATATTTTAAAATTAGAGCCGTGAAATTTGTCGAATTAGAAAAATCTTAGGATCACTCGTACTCTCAGCAATATCCAAGTAAGACTGTAGTTACATGGAGGTTCTTTCCCAAGTTTTTAAGAAAACTATCGTAAAACACTATGGCATCCGTAAAAACTTTACCATAAGATTTTTTCCCATTTCAAACTTTTCTACCTTTTTCTTTTATTAATCGACAAATTTGTGTGAGCTGTTCCAGGACAAATAGTACAACAAATCTATTGCTAGCAAGCTTCGCTTTGAAAACAAAGATATTACAAACAGGGTCGCAGCCGTTACTGGAATAAAATACTAGATTTTACACCGGAAACATTAATTTCAAGAGTTTTGTCGACTTTTTACTCCCCTCGGTTAACACCGTAATCCCCTAAAGTCTGGGACACCTTTTTTTTAACACCTCGTATACATATATCATAGCGATGTTTTCGAAGGGAATTCCCCGGAGGGGCCCAAAGTGAATTATAAAGATTGTAGGTACGCGCGAATGGGCTTCGCATCCGGCCAGTGTCGAGCGGACGTCGATTGATTCTGCGATAACAATTCGAAAATTGAATAGACGATAATCCGCGACGGTCAATTCAATTTTCGATATCGCGAAAATATTGGTCGCTCTCGATTCCCTTCGATCAAAAAGCGAAATCCCGGATTCAAGGAAGTCGCGTTTTCGTTGATTTTTCAAGCATCTTTCGATTTTCGAGGAATAGCCGGTCGCCAAGAAGAACGGATAGATAATTTTTACGGAACTGCGATCATCGTAGACGCTGGTACCTACCTAATGACTTTGCCGTCGTCTTTGATAGATCCGTCTTTGAAAAGAGATTCGTTATCCGGCAATACCGAACGCGGATGAATTTTAATATTGCTTGGGACGTCGCGCCACGGTTCCCTATTTATTCGAAGTATCTGGAAAATTTATACAGGAATCTCATTTCAATATTTATCTTAAATTTTGAGTTACATCGCGAAGGAAAATTAATCGATTCGGCCGGCATACCACGCTATCGTCGGAGATTATTTGTCTTTTGTGAACCGTTAATTCGAAGAAAATAATTATTTTGCGGTACTTCCGTGCTTCGGACTCGGTTATCTCGTACGCAACAATTTAATAATTCTACTTGCAACGAAGAAAGTCAGGATGCAGTTGTTTCGCGAGAACGGATACCGCCTTTCAAGAACATCCTAGATAATTAATCTGTTTCTCCGGAGAATAGCCACCTATTTGCATAGCTACACGTATGCAAATGATACATGCCTCCTTCGTACTGCGGCGTTCCAAAATTATTCTTCGGATTATGAAACAGAGCGGGCGAGAAGGAGAGATGAAGAGAACTAAACGATTCAGCGAACGGGGAACGATCGTTCGAATAAATCTTTCCGAAAGCGTATAATCGCGTACACGTCTGGAGAAGGCTGCACCAGCTTCTTCCATTGGTTCAAGCGGGGAAAGAAATTAAATCTTCGTGACATTCGACGAAATACGTCTCTCGTAAAAAAAAAAAAAAAGAAGGAAAAAAGTGCGAAGAACCTGTCGTCGAGGAATAAAACTGTTAGCCAACCGAGAAATTTCGCGCAGAATATTGCAAGGAAAATCGATCGATCGAACGTGATCCAAAAGATTCATCCTGATTAAGAAGCGATCGATTAATCGTCGATCAAGCTGGAACCGTTTGCTCCCGCTAATACGCTCTCGTAATTAATGCTCGCCACGATTCTTCTTCCCGGAAAATGCTTGGAAAAATTACGAGTTTGCATTTTCACTCTGATTATCCTTTCTCTGTCGGTCGGCGAACGTATCAGCTAACCGTTCGAATTTCTTGGTTCTACTACGAATTTAAGCAGTGTCAGCCTAACGAGGAACTTTAATTTTTCTTTCTCTTCTTTTTTTTTTTTATCGGGATTACCGAATTATTAAAGAAGGACAATTTCCAAAGGAAGAAATCGAAAGAATCTACCCGCGAATCAACTTATTTCCACTACAATGCCAACGGCCGAGTCATTAGGTCCATTCTTTCTCGCATTTGACGCGGAAACTCCCACCGTTTCGCCGCCGAGGCTTTTCAATCGGTCATAACGTTTGCGCTATTCTTTTCGGAACAGACAATGTTTGCGAACAAACAGTTGATCGCGGTAAACACACGGAAGAGGCAAGGAAATGGAATTTCGTCTGGAAAAGTGAAATCTCGATCGGTTCGATCCTTATATCATTCGGAGAAAATTGGATTCCATAAACTTGGAACGAGATGTCTAAATAAAGGGTGAATCTAGGAATTAAAAGTTCCCGAGTTGAATGTCATATATTTTGCTAATGTAATAGATATCCGAATTGATCCGAATTGTTTTCCAAGCAGCCAGCTGTCTTTCGAGATCGGCAAGGTTTCACCGAAGGATAGTTGATTTGGTCCTCGCTCGGTGAAACCATCGATCACGTTTGTCGTCACCGAGATAAGACAAAGAGGTTATAATCTGACATTGGCTGGAAGGAAAAAACTGTCGAGGTGTGTGGGAGGGTGTGCTAGCATGCGAAAGACGGTGCTTATCGTGGAAAGAAACAAGGCGCGTTTAACAGGGGAGTAGGTAGAAGCTGGAGCAGACGGGCCAAAGAAGGAGAGACTTTTCATTTAGTCCTGTCGTAAATAAGAGGGAACAGTTGCTCCTTCGCGTATATTCCTGTATACCTCTACATACATGCATAGAACGTTTGAAAGCAGATGCACACCGTGAAATCGAATTGTCCTTTAGAATTTCACAGCCCGAGGTTTCGTTTATAAGATACAAGCGTAAGCGATTGTAGTTTTACGAATAGGGTGTGCATTAAAGTCTACTCGCAGGGCGATTGAAGTGTACGCCTCTAAATGGCCGACATAGTTATTTACGAGAATGGCGTAAAGGATCATTGTTGCGCGTTTCCTTGGCCGGAAGTATCTACAGTTGAGAAACGTACGAGCAAAGTACCGATAGCCACAAGTTTCGATCTCTCCTCTCTTGCAGCGACGTACATTACGTGAAATTGCGCCAACTTGGAGCCGCTTGTACGTATCGCTTGACAAATGTATCGATTGAGAAACGAAGAGTATCGAAAGAAATAATAAAAAAAAAAAAAAAAAAAAAAAAAAAAAAAGAAACGGTACAGAGAGAAAGAAACAAATAGCAAAAAGAGTTTCGAGCAGGGAGGAGGAGGTGTGAGTAGTGGTTAAAGGGGAGGGAAAATATAGAAGGGGTGAAATAGATAGAGGAAGAAAGAGAGAGAGAGGGAGAGAGTGATTATTATTGTTCAGGTTTCTTTTTCTTCCACTTGCAGAATGAGGGTGGCACGGCTATTACTGTGCTACGTACTTCTCGAAGACTACAGTACCAATCTCGGCGGGGCTGCAATTACCAGCGACGCCGTGCGCCAGGACGCCTCTGCGACGAATCCCACGCTACCAGGTACACAACTTCCACTATTTCACCTGCGTATCGTTCGCGGATCAAAACGCATCGTTTACTGCGGTAACCAGCGCAGCGGATCAAAGCGAATTAGATTTTTCCCGGTAAGAAACAATACACACAACGGTGCAAACAATTCTCGTGGCTGTGGTTCGCGTGTGCGTTGCCGATAACTAACTTTGACCAAACTCCGAAAGCCGATGACTCTGTTGCCCGGTCGCGTATTATTCCCGAGGGACTCTTCGTTTCGACGACGCCTCTCTCGTTCGTTCGATTTTTATGTTTTTTTTTTCCCCCCTCTCCTCTCTTCTTCCTTTCCGCTCATTTTCTGTCCCCTTTCTTCCCTTTGTCCTGTTTTTCCTTTTTCCCCCTTCATTTTTTGTTTTCTCTTTTTTTTTCCCCGTCGCATCGGAGAGAGGACGGTGACACAGAGCTCGTCGAAGTACACACGTCAAAGAGTTTAATTACCACGACGATTTCGCGTGGACGTGGTGCATCGGTCGAATTACCTAATCGTGGTTTTCATCGATAGCTTCAGCCTCGATCCGTGTCGTGATTCGTGTTTCTTTCATTTCGCGTACCGTATGCTTTTTGTCGAAGCGATTTTCCTCCCGTTTCTCTTTGTCATTTATTTCATACGGTACGCATGTTTGTTTTGCGTCTCTTAAAAATTTCACCATTTCTCTCTGATTTACCTGCAATTTAACAAGCGTTCCTACGTTCACCAGCGATAATATCATGTATGCTGGCGTTTTAGAGCAGAGAAATCGAACCGCGTCGTTTCGTGGGAAATGGTTCGTTTGCAAGTTCTAGAGAAAATTGTTGGTTGCTTTACAGATTTCTCGCGTTGTCGCTTCAAAGAGTTTATTGTCGACTCTTGGACCGTTTATAGGACGCTTCGCGAGAGCCGCTTTTAATCAATTAAGAAAACACGATGGGTTCGATCGTTGTCACGACACTTTTCCCTGCACGGTTCAATGATTTCTAATTACCTGCAACAATCGATTCGCCTCTTCGACAACTTCCGATATCCCGCAACGCAACGAACACCTTAAGTTTAATTTAAAGTTTCGCGAGCTAGAATGTTACGTTTCAAGCAAAGTTTCAGCAACAAGAATTTCCCAGTTTTTCGCGCACGTATCAGAAACTTGCCAATTTTCAATCACCATTTCTTTTCTTCCAAAAAAATGGATCGATCGCGTTTCCGAGAGCGTCGCTGGTCTGTTTACGAGCGTAATAGGATGTTTCCTTGATTACTCGTTAGAGAGAAAGTAGAGAGGGTAACGGTAGGAGATCAGATAAGGGGTTACCGCAGCGGTTAGCGATTGTATACAGCCATAATGGAACTAGCTAGCATCTTAGCAGAGTAGGAGATGGTGCAGTGTAACGGGAACATAATGTCCTCCGAGAGGCGCTAAGTTGGCGATGGTATGTCGAGTCGGTTGCTGGATAAAGGAAGGGTGAGACAGGACTGATAACGCGGGTCAGAAACACGGCCATAAGAAACGAATAGCGTGGAGCGGTAGAACAAGAGACGAATGGAGAACGTTCAGCGCTTTTGCTACGAATGCTGATGACGGTGGTAACATTCAAGTGGTTAAGTAAATTTTCTTTGCAAATCATTATTTCCTTGCTCGTTTGCACCGAGTCTTATGAATTTGCATTCGAAGAATTAAAGAAAATCGAACAATCGAATGGAAAAAAAACGATGATTCAGTCCATCGTATAATTAGAAGGGTTAATAAAACGTCGGGATGGTAATCGGTGTCACGGATCGGCAATTAACCGCGAAGACCGGGTAATTGAAATTGATAACGCGAACGAGCCACGGGTTTGAAAGAATAGCCCGGACGGGAAAGTAAATCAGCCAACAAGTAGAAAGAAGCTGAAGAAAGTTGGCAGAAGGGCGGGACAATTTGCTAGAGGAGACTGGTCCAAGATTAGTCGACGAGTTCCCTTTCGTTCGAGCGAAATTATTCGAGTCTGGTATCGCGAGGCGTTTCGCGTCGTACTCGTTGACGCGGGAAACCATTGAAAATAAACGGAAAGCGGAGAAGTTTCGCGTAAAGCGCGACCAAACGATGGAAGAAAGAGGCAGAAGAAAGGAGAGGGACCACTGAACGACTACGACTACGATTACGACTACTACGACTACTACGACGACGACGACGACGACGACGACGACGAACGGTGAATGTCCCTGAAGTTGAAGTAGTTCCACTTGCTTCTCTACCCTCGACTCTCACCCCCGTTTGCTCAACTCTCCCCGGGCACTCGCTTGGGCCCGTGCCGGTTACTTCAGCAAGTTTTTCCTTTGAGGATGAAAGATATTAATTAAACTGTCACAGACACGGTAGCAGGGAGCCTCTAACTTTATTTCGCCACTTACAAGTTAACCGCTTAAGCGGTTTGCTCGCTTACTCGCGTCGACGCCAGCTCGTCGCCGATCTTATCCCGTAAGCATACCAGTTCGGAGCTGGTTATGAATGCGAACTGACCCCAGGAGAGGAGCGTGCAACGCGTGACTAACGCCAACCACCTCTGACCTTTTGCTCGATTCTCCGACGTCGAATCGAAGAAAATCGGATATCAACCGAACGGATCGCCGCAGCGTTTTGTCAAACTGCCTTCGGCCCGAGATCGAACGCCTCCGACGCGTTAGTCGACGTTCTAAGTCTCGTAATCGATTACCCTACTATTCTTCTTTGGTTCACCTTTCAATTTTTATATTTTAAACCAAACAAATTCGGAAAGCAGCTACTATCGCTCGAGGGAAGATCGTTACGAGTTTCGGGAGAACCGCGATTCGTTTGATTAGCGAAAAGTTTTATTAATTTACCTTCTGCCTTGGGCGCGTTTGAGTTGCCGTTCTGGTCAGACAGAAACTACCGGGAAAGCGTCCATCTTCATTAGTATATTGATCGCGAGAAGTAACTCTAACGCCTTGATCTTGGACGCTTGAATCGTTTACCGATAAATAAATTGTGTTTCTCGAAAAGGGCGACCCTATTTGGCGACAGAGTGTGACGAAACTTTCAATCTTTGGACAATCCATTACGAAATCATTCAAGGGATGATGTAGTTCCATAAAGTAACTCGGTTAGTCTTATCGGAATGTTAGAGTTTCCAACAGTTTCAGACCAACAATTATCGTCTTATTGAGCTTTATCGAACGACGGGCTCGAACTCTGTGGCCCGCCAGGTTACCGTTTATACAAGCCGGTGTTAAGTGTGAATATGGGTTTGCTATTTTGGAAACGATGATACAGGCGATGAAAAAATTCAGCAGGGCCGTTTAAACGTTTACAACGGATGGGCCATTTGGTTACGTAATGGTCGCGAGTTGATATAGTCGAAATAGCCGATCGCGCGATCGATTTTAAACGTCTATGGTTAACACAGTGAACAAACGGTATTTTCGAATATCGCTAGTAACAAACACGGAACGTTCGTTATTAAAAATATCCGGATAGAGCTCGTTCGAATTAAACGAATAGTTTGTCGAGCGGATATCCGTTCTTCGATATATCGTTTCAAGCTGGGTCGCTTTACCTCGCTCGGAACTCACAATTAAACCGTCAAAGTATCAGAATCAGGCTCGAACCCGCATACCTGGCGACACTAATATCGCAAACATCCGCGTGGCAGTAGGAGGAGGACGAGGAGGGGGATGTTACAAGACGACAAGATTGACGTTAATTAGCAGGGAGCAATGCAGAGATAGGTGGTATGCGTGTACATACTCGGCCCGTGGAAAGGATAGTTTCGAAGGCAATTAGAAGGTCGTGTTCGCGTACCAGTTGTAATCTACTTATATGTTAAGGACACGCGCCACTGCGGCCATACGTGTGCAGTGTACAGGGACGTTATTAGAGGTCGAAGGTAGGAAAGGAGGCGTGAGTGGAATCGCGGGATGCGTGTGACGCGAGCTCGACAAACACATACGAAGATCCGGCCGAGCTTTCAACGATACTGGCCACCCTTACACATCGCTCCGGGCAAAGTTTTAAACGCAATTTCGTGTTCCCGCTCACGCGTTGCAGCTGATCTCGCTCCAGCTCGGTGTACCGAGCTGCGCCTTTATCAAATAGTTTCGAAAGTTCCTTTAACGGATCTCCACCTATGTACCCGCGCTTACCCTCTCGATTTCTTTTGTCTTCGAACAAGATCTTTTCCTCGCAACTCTTCCAATGTAGAAATTCGTGAAGAACGAAGCTGAGATCTTCGCCTGCCTAGCCACGGCGACCTTATCCAACAGGCCTCAGGCAATTTGCCGTCATCCCTTTTTCCCTTATCCTTTTCGTTGAACACGATACTATCTCCGGTCTCGCGATACTTTTACAAATTAGTTTCGAGTTGAAAAATTCTCGTCCACTTAAATACAGAAGGAAACATCGAAAAATTGTTTACGAACAAACAACTTAGCAGAGACAAAAGTACAGAGAAATTAGATTTCCGGATGAAACCCCTTTCTCATCCCTCGCCATCGATCCTCCTTCCATTCTCGGTTCTTTCTATTTTCGTTCCATTCGAAATGATTCAACGGCTCGGAACGCGCTAATATTTTCGTGCCTTCGCAAACTAATTCCGATTTCAATCTGTTCAACTCGAAGCAACGCGTCGAGTAGCGGTGCGGCGCGGCGCTTCCAACGAGAAGCATTTAGTTGCAAATTCACCAGCTCGACTTTAATACATAAACCTTTTTTTTTTTTCCTCCCGTTCCTCTGGTGCAAGGAGTGCTCAGCTAGCTGCGACGTATTAAGGGGACGCGAGGAAGCGTGACGCGAATTGAGAGTACACACGGTGCGGGCGTTCAAATAGCCGTACGTATACGTTTAGCTAAATGGGTGATCGTGCAGTTAGGAAACCTCCGTGTTCCGCATGTGCGATCTTACTAATTTCCGGAATCGAGAGCTCTCTTGGTCTCGACGCAACGTCGCGACTCGACGCGACGCGACGCGACGCGGCGCAACGTGGCGCGGTGAGGGAGAGGAAAAGGT